TTTAATGTTTATGTGCCTATTTCAAAGGCAGAGTTACATAGTGCCCATTGCCTATTTTCGTAAATAGTAGTGTTGTTGGACTATAGCCTTACCCAATTCCAGTTGCACAGTCTAAATTGGTAAATAGCTATTTTACAGTAAAGACTTGATCACCTCTGATCACCATCTTAGGCATGTTACTTTATTTTCTAAATCAGTTTCTTCATCTCTGAAATGAAGTCTTAATTTACAATTACTCATAAATTTATTTGAAGATAGAGGTTAAGCAAAATTTGTGGAAGTTTTGACATAGTATTTGACTTGTTCTATACATTCAATACATAATAACTCATGATTATCATTATTGGAAACTGAATTTATTGATTCAGTTTCCTGATTTCACAAGAAATAGTTTGAGAAGGACAATGGTTCAGGTGCAGGTGTGAAGTTTGATACAGTGTCTGTATGTATCGGGCATTTTAAAGATTCTATAACTGGCTGCTTTTCAGGTAGGAACTAATGTGTTAACTTCTAGAGTTAACAAGCCTTGTCCCTTAAAACAAAGTGGTATTAAGCATGGAAATGTCAAAATTTCTCTCAGTTAATACTGCCTTCTACTGAACTTTGAATATAAACATTTAGATAATCTACAAATGAATAAAGTGGCCATTGGTATCTTTTTGGTTTTATCAGAGTAACTAGTTACCTTGTGAATACAGTGAATCAAACCAAAGTGACTTGATATGGCTGTTATTCTTTTGTTTTGTTTTTGGAAGACTTGTTTATTTTTATTTGAAAGGCAAATTTAAAGATCTTCAGTCTGCTGGTTTGTTCCCCAAGTGGCCAAAATAGCCAGAGCTGAGCCAATGCAAAGCCAGGAACTTCTTCTGAATCTTTCATGCAGGTACAGGGTGCCAAGGCTTTTGGCCATCCTCTATTTATGTTCCAAGCCACAATCATGGAAGGAATTGAATGTGAAGTGAAGCAGCTGGAACAGGAACCAGCCCCCATCTGGGATACCAGGCAGTTGCAAGGCAAGGATTTAGCCTCTGTGCAATCACGCTGAGCCTTTTTCTTTCCTACTTGCTTTTTAAACTTGGGAGAATCAAACAAAAAGCATGTTTTTAGATAAATAACTTGTGAATGTACCTGCTTATGAGCATTTTGTTCTTTACTAAGAAATGACATTTCTCAAGTGAATCATATAACTATTAACTCCGTATCAACTCACTGTTTATTGATTTCTTATCAAGTCACTAATGTAAATTCCATTCTTTCCTTAGAGAGTTAAATAGTGTGAATATCTTCTTTCTAGTCTTTTTATCATTTGGTGGCTTTTACGATTTTCACTCTTCTCTGTTTTGCCTTGTTTTCTTACTTATTCAGAAAATTCTTATTAAGAATGTACTAAGTATTAGGCATCATAATAGCGAGTAATTAACCTGACATGAGATCACAGCTTAATGAAGAAAGCACATAAAAACCTAGTTGGCAAATATAGGTAGTTTTAGTTAAAGGGCCCATATCAATGTCAGGTGCCATTGAGTTTGTATGAGAGAGAAAGAACTCAATTTGGGGTGGTTAGAGCTTAGAATGTGGAAGAGAGCTTTGCGTTGAGAAGTGAGGTGTTTTTAGGCTAACTAATGAAGAATGGGACCAGATTAGTTTCGAAGCATTTAGAAAAGAAAATGATTTGATTGGAAACCCCTGCAGTGTCAGATGTGGAGACAAGTAAACAGTGACCCTGAAGAGTCTAAGCCCTCGATGCTTGTGATCATTAACTACTTAGAAGCATTTAAGTTTTACTCTTATTGGATCAGAGTGGCTGAAGATAACTAGTGTTCTTGCTTAGAACCATGTTAAGAATGTGGGGATATTAACCAAGATGATGGTATTGAAGATGGGGAGAAGAGTGTAATGGAATCGGTAGCATGGATTGGATAAGAATAGAACCATTCCTTCCACTGTGAGCTAGCACTGATGAGCCGAGTCAATGGTAGGACAGAGTGGAAGAGTATCCTTTGAGATACGGTGTTGAGTATGTGTTGGAGGAGCTGTTACTCAGAATTTTTAGGAACTCAAGTGGATGCCATTGGTCTTTAGACAGTGTTTGGAATCAAGGTGTCATGGAATCTGTTACAGAAATCCTAATATTTGCAGAAAGTAAAGAAAACGTATTACAGGAAGCTGGGAATTTTCTAGAAGTGGAGGAGGGCAATAAGGAGAGAAAGAGCCTTTGAGACCACAAGGAGAAAATGTTTGAGAAAGGATCAATGGTGCTGAATGCTGTAGAGAGGTCAGGTGAATCAAGAACTAATGTGGATATGTGCGTGTGTGGGGAGGGTGGTCTCCTAAATCCACTTCAAATTGAATCTATATATTTTATTGTAGAGAGATTTTCCTTCCTGTATTAATGTTCTTGAACATCTGTGTGCTTTAATGAGCCCAGTTAGCTGCCTCTCAGTTGCTTTGTTGTGTCTAACTCTCCTAACTTGTCTCTTTAGGCTTCTTTTTATTACTACCTTCGATAATCAAATATGTCGTTCTCTGAGTATTTGAGATCCTCCTAGGGCATACTGCTCTGCTTCATTCCCATGTTGACAGTGACATGTTTGTACATCTACTGAACGTCTTTAACCTTAAATTTTGTCTTCATATTTGTTCTTTTTCTCTTTGTGGAGAATTATCTGAAATACAGAAAAAGTACTTTTGAGATGTTTTATAAAGTGAATCAGTAAAATTTTCATTTACAGGCCCAGCATGATGGCTCAGTGGTTCTATCCTCACCTTCTAAGTGCCAGGATGGATCCCCATATAGTCATTGGTTCATGTCCTAGCTGCTCCGCTTCCCATCCAACTCTTTGCTTGTGGCCTGGAAAAGGATGGCCCACACTCTTAGGACCTTGCATCCATATAGAAGACCTGGAAGGAGCGAATTCAGTGGCTAATTATCTATCTGTCTATCTATTTATAATATACATAATATATCTATAAGGTATTTATAGATATTTACATAGCTTAATATCTATATATCTTATGCTATATATCTTACAGATATATATCGATCTATTTATCTATTTATATACATATATATTTAGAGGCCCATATATTAGAGAGAGAGAGAGAGAAAGAGAGATTTTTTTTTTAATAGAAAAATTTTATGATGCAAATATTACAAAAGAAAATTTTTTGTATTTATTGGAAAGGCAAATCAGATTGACAGAGAAAAGCAAAGACAGAGGAAGATCTTTCATGCTGGTTCTCTGCCCACAAAAATGAGCCAATCTGAAGCCAAGTGCCACGAATTTCTTCCAAATCTCCCACGTGGGTGCAGGGTCCTAAGACTTTGACCATCCTCCTGCTTTCGCAGGCCATAAGCAGAAAGCTAGGTGGGAAGTTTAACAGCTGGGACACAAAGTGGCCCTCATAAGGTACCCTGGCAATTGCAAGGCAAGGACCCCACCAATGAGCCATCATGCTGAGCCCTGAATTTTTCTTAATTGATTTGTTATATCAAAGCCAATTTTTTCAAAGCCTTCTGTTCTGTGGCTTCATTGTATGGATAGATAACATTTTCTGTTGTTAGCAACATAAACTGGGTTTATTATGGATGCAGGTGAGTATACATACAGTACTTTTTGCCACTCTGAGCCTTCAGTACATACCCAGGAATGACCTTCAGAGACCTTCTAAACACTGCAAACTCGTAAATATTTTTGATGCCTTAGGTATATATATTTTTGCTACTTAAGAAGAATACAAAAATATATGGATTGTTGCTAGTTGTTTTTAGAAAAGCTGTGAAGTTTGATTCCTCATTATTAATGGTAAATTAGTCACTCAGATTCCTTGTAACATGAGGCATAACTGTCAAACATTAATACATTAGGGTGGATCATGGGGTGAAGGCAATTTTATGAGGGAGAAACAGTGTACTAATGCATAAAATTGAGAGACCAAACTCAACAGTTAATGTGTATTTAATAAAAAATATTCTAGTTCAACAGAGGGCAATACAATGTTGTCCGGCCCTGCTTTTCCTGAACTTTTTCATGAGAACATGGAGCAAAATGACCACGAAAGTCAGTTGGAGGCTCCTTGGATATCAAAGACTATACCAAAGTAAGAGTTATAAGTGCTAAAAATATAACCTTATATGGTAAAGGCTAAAATATTTTATTTCTCTGTTTTAGAAGGATTTATATACATATTTATTTGAGAGAGAGTGAGAGAACCCTTCTGCTGGCTCACTCCCCAAATACCCACAACAGCTAGGGTTACTTTAACCCAAGGCAGGAATTGGAGTCTCCAAGTGGTTCTCATGTGGCTGCCAAGGACCCCCATGTTCTTGGATCATCACTGCTGTCTCTCAACAACATTATCTGGAAGATGAATTTGAAAGCAGAGCTACGGAATTTGAGCCAGCACTGAAATGTATTTGTCCCAAGAAATAGGGGAACATAGTGTGCCACAGTACCAGCTCCCTTACTTGTGTTTTTGCCTGCTTGTTTAGTCTTATTTGATCAAAACTATATTTTTCATCATTAATTTCACACAGAAAGAATAAAGCACAAATTTCACATTAAATAGTGTCCCTTATGTATTTATTATTATACATATGAGAAACAAGCCTTTTAATCTCCATTGTTCCACACTCATGTATACCAGTGTGGGTTACTGCAGAGCATGGAACCCCTGTGCTATATGTGTTCTCTGCTCTGGGACTCTAGCACCTATTTCTTCAGGCTACCAAGGCTCCTGTGTCACAGCTTTCCTTCAGTGAAACTGTTTGGAAATGAACTGTTATTTTGAAGGTTCCCTCCTGATGCCAAATACACCCAGAACTTTTTGGACTATACCATTACCTCTGCCTCTCTCTCTTTTCCTTTCTCTTCTTGAGCTTGAATTGCTTTCATGTAATTCCTGACAGTTTTAACTAAGCCTGTCTTTGAATATATGGGTGAATGTTATTGACTTGTCTTAAGTGGATCTGATAATACATGACATTTTTTTTCCCCTAGGAATGCTGCCTTTGCAATTTGAGAGGGGGTGCTCTTAAGCAAACTAAGAACAATAAGTAAGTAACACATTAATTGTTTTTGAGTTGTTTGTGTTGTTCCCCATTCTTCTAGAGTTCTGGATGACAGCTTGATTTACTTCCCAGTGTACCTATTGTTACCGAAGTTTTGGTGTCCAAATCTCAGTTTGAGATTTTGTATCAGTGTCCACATCTGACAGCACTTTCACTTCTGCTGAATGAGGGTATCCATAGTTATTTCACACCATGAAGAATAACCCATTGTTTAGTTTTTAAGAATTGAATGTGGTACATATAACCCAAGTGCCATTAGTTAGGATCCTGCTTTTTAACATGTTGAATCTCATTAATTAATTTGAGAAATATGTTTCTCTAAAGAATGAATTCTCTGTTTTGAAATAAATTATAAATCATAGTGATGACATTAAAGCCAGTCTCTTGATCTTTATTACCAGCAAATACAAGAATGCATGCATGTATACTAAACTTGAAACGAGAGGAAGAAAGCCCTGTTGTTGAGATTTAAAGGAAGTAGGACTAAGCTATCATGAGAACCTTAAAAAAAGAATCAGTGACCAAAAAATGAAGGTGTCTGGTTTTTATGATTACTTTTAAATGAATTTTTTTTTTCAAGAGAAGATTTTAATACTGAAAATGGGTCCAAAGCAGAAATATGTACAAATGATATGGGCAGAGTTGCCAGCTGGCAGTTGATAACCACATCCATCCTAAGACAGTTTTTGTTAGAGGTACACATCATTTTATAGATTTAAAGTCTAAGAATTGTGAGATTTTTACATAACAATCCAGTTTTGTGTCTTGAAATGTGACAGTACATCACTGTAAAGCAAAGATACCTGGTTGAAGTGAGGAATCTGACTCGTGAGGACTGATTCCCCACATTACCGTGATGTCCCAGTGTTCATGTGTTCACTTTGATCCTGCCTGGCCTCACAGACATTTGAGTTAGGAAATGCTGATGCGTGGTATTGATGAAGTTATCTTAATTATGTCTGATTGCTTAGAAGGAGGCATAAAGGTTTTTGTCTTTCCTGCACTGGCAATGTTTAGTCTCAGAAGGTGAAATTTCAGTTAATTTTGGATCATCATCTTTCACGATCCTAGTTAATGTGATTTGCAGTATAGTAAAAGAAGCATCTTCTCTCTTTCTAGGGTGTTGTACAGGTACAGAGGTTGTGAGTGGGTTTGGGGAAATTCTCTTATTCTTGGGCTAGAATTTAAAAGAAGTAGGGTTTTCTATACTAGGATATTTGTTTTGTTGTGGACAATCTTCTGGTTGAGTTGATACCTCCTCTGTCTTTCTGTACCCTTGAAAGGCTGGATGCAACCTGCGTGGATGTGTGTCTTCAGCACAAATGAGGCTGATGGATTTGAGAACTCTGTGATGATCTTTTCAAACCTCATGATCCTTTATATTTACTTTACAGCATAATATATACTGTATATATATACTTTTCTTTATAATTGTATTCATAGGGAAGTTGCTATTTTTCCTAGTACTTCAGAATATGAGGGCGATATTAGATTTTAGGTAGGAAGTAAGGGAGCATGATCAAGTTCATCTGTCCTTGTGTCAGATTCTGTTGGTTAAACTCAAAGGGAAGCAGTTTGATTAAGTGTTTAATTAGAACTAATCCTTTTGGAAAATCTTATTGCTTCATGTGGTTTGCTTCATAATATTTATGTTATATAGTAAGAGTATTTACCACACATGCTTTATAGCTTTCATTAGTTATAATCTTTTGCTCTGCGTTTATCAGTTGCAATTTATAGAAGATTTTTTTTGCAGCAAATGAAATAAGAAACTTGTATTTCGATGTTTTACAGAGAAAATGAAGAGAAATATACAGTTTTAATATTGAGTTTTTACCATCATCTAGGTTTTAGTGTCACAGTATTGGGCACAAAGTGATGTTCTATCTATGTAGGTATCATTTTAAAAGTTTAAAATTCAGAATCTGTTTGTGATGGATGTAAGCCTTTGCCTTCTTTCTCATCTGTGTGTTCTCAGATAAGAACCAGTTACCGGGATCAAGTATGAGCTGTGTAAGTTTATGGAACTTTTGCTCATGTTTAATGTCTCTTTTCCTGTAGGTGGGCCCATGTCATGTGTGCCGTTGCAGTCCCAGAAGTCCGATTCACTAATGTCCCAGAAAGGACACAAATAGATGTAGGCAGAATACCTTTGCAGAGATTAAAATTGGTGAGTGGCAAAGCTGCTTTTTTACCTCATAAATTTTGATTTTCTAGTTCTGACTTTTTCTATTGATGCACACATTTCCAGGATACTGTCTATCCTATCCTTATTATTTTTTCCCTTATCTTCTTTTAGCCTACATTTATCCTTTAGAAATTTTGTTCTTGTCGCATTGTAAATCCACGTAAGACCTGCCTCATATTATGTTAAAAATGATTGAGAAGATTAATGCTTTCCATAGATGAATCTGAACTTTAGAGTACATCTAGCATGATTTGAGCTGTCCAGCTCTATTTAAGTTGTTTAGTTTGTTTATATGTTGCCTCTCTTTGGCAAACATGTCTCTTACCTGATTTCATCATCACCTCAGCAAAAGAGGCTCACTCATGAATTGATACAAAACACTTGCTGTGCAAAAGTGTCTGACCAATTATCTTCTGACCCATTCAGAAACTTGTATAAAAGTCTTCTCTGTTTCCCATGGTGGGAGGATTTTTCATTGAAGATATAGACTTTTAATATCCTTAGCATTCAGGTAACTTTGTAGTTATGTTCAATTGTTAGCCAACAGATCATTAGTTTTGTCTCTAGTATTACATTTTTAATGAGAATATTTCCTGAAGCTAAACATGCTGAAGCATGTCTTAAAGGTAGGCTTAATTCTTTCCTCACACATGCATATCTGAATTTCCTTACTCTTTGGTATCTTTAAACTCAAATTTTCCCATTAGAGAAAATTTCTGGCATGGTTCTCTATTCCCCTTCCTTATTTTGTCATTATTGTCTTCTGAGGCAGTGGTCTGGGCATGCTGTGTGTGGGCTTGCCCATCTGAAATCTAGAGTGCTATCTTTTGGGTGAAAGTGAATGCTATTATTTCCTAGCATAACCCCAACAGGAATTCCCGTTTGATCTGACGGTTCCTGTTGGCTGATAAGAGTGCAGTTACCAGAAGGCGCACCAAGGGACCATTTAAATGTTCCTGCTCAGGTCACAGTGACTTATCGGGAGAGGCACGAAGAGGAGGTGATTTTTCAGCTGTAGAACTTCTGTAGGAAAACTGAAATCTTGTATTCTGCTTTTCAGTAAATATGCCAAAAAATAAACATATAAATGAAAACATAAACAAAAACCCAGGGCAATGTAGAAAACACTAAACATACAGCAAAACTCAAAACAGATAAAACAGGCAAATAAAATTAAAATGTTTCATATTTATATGCTAAAGAATTTTTGGTTTGAGAAAAAAGTCTGTCTTCTGATCAAAATAATAGTGATTTGTAAAAATCGAACCTACATTTAAAAAATCAAGTTTGTTTTTCTTCTCTGAAGGCTCTGTTCTGTTACCAATATACTGCCTCTCAGAATGAGTGGTCATTTCTCCTGAGGCATCAGGCTTCCCTCGAAGGGCCTCTGCTTGCTGCTGTTGTCCAAGATTATGTCCTTAGTGATTTAATGCTCCCCTTATCAGTCCCAAAACATTTCTGAGAGCATAGCAGGGAGGGACAGCTTAAATTAATAACCCCACACAGGTTGTTAAATTTCATCTTAAAAAGGCAAAGCTTCTCATTGCCTTCGCTATGCTCTTGTACGTCTTGATTGTACACATCTCGCATTGATGGGATGCCTCAAAACAAATGTGCTTTGCTGAATTTAGAGCCACCGAAGTACTATCCTGATGACAATTTAGAGACATGATCACAAGCATTAGCTATGAAATGTATTTGGGTGAATGTAGCAAACTACAGAACAGAGAGTTTTCTGTTCTTTTAAATGTAATCTTTTATGTATGAGGTTTTCCGGAATGTTATTTATCAAAATGCTAACATACAGTGATTGTCTTTAGTGGAATGATTCAGGGTGAAAGGTCATTTTGAAAAAAAAAAGTCATTCCCAAATGCTATAATGTTTTGAGAGGATAAGGAATCTGGGTGACTTTTCATTGAAAATCCTCGGATAAGAACCGTCTTCTGGTGAATCTACTACCGTGTGTTGTCTGGCTGCCCTGACCACTGTCCCATGCTGAGCAGACTGGGCTGGCTTTGAGTTAGAAATGTACAAATGGTCACTGGGTGGCAATGTACCTTTTCATGGATTAGGACACTCTACTCCCTGTGTAGTGTCCATTGGCACACTTTCCTGGCCTCAGCATCCTTTGCAGGTTCTAGTGATGGTCTGGCAAAGGAATGGTCATCCGAAAGCCAGAGCAATAGTTTTGCAGTGTGTTTCAGCCAGACTAAGGTGAATTCAGAGAAGCTGTTTTACTGTCCATACCGGGTGTTTCTGTAAGTGTCAGTCTTTTTCTGGAGCTGTAGACACTTTTCTTTTCTGGATCCAAGATTTTTCACCAGCTTTCCTTGTTATGTGAATAAAGAATTAGATGTTAGATTACTTCACCAATCACTACCTAACTTGTCAAACAGTATAATATTTGAATAAACAGTGCTTTTGGTTCTCTGCCGTGTTACATTCTATACGAGCATTTCTCCGCTTTGGCACTCTTGGGACTTTAAACTTGGTCTTTTTTTTTTAATTTTTTTTTTTTATTATAGGATAGTGACTTGTGCCTTGGTAGATTCCAGGATCTCGGATTAGGTGTCACCTGGGATGTCAGCTCACCCCCATTTGAGAGCACACTAGTTTGTAGAGAAGAACTGTATGTGATGAGAATATCATTTTTGTCACGTTTACATAGAGAATATGTTTGCTAAAAGAACAACATTGTAGAAGGAAGTTTGCTTTTCTTGAGCGTTAATAAAAAAGTGTGGCAATATGTACATGTTAGCTACACTATGATTATTAATTACATAATCTGATCATTTATATTCTTATGTAATTTAAACTGAGTATTTTAAATTTAAATTAAAATGTATATGTACATACTAGTCACTGAATAAATATTAATGAAATAAAAAAAAGACAGCAAAGCGTTGCTCTAGCTTAAAGTAATTGCTTCGAAGGGGTTATTAATACTCAAAAATGGCTTGTACCTTTTCACCAGTTCCCCTGTAAATGTAATAGTAGTGAATGCACCTGTATCTTTGCATCCTGCTGTAAAGCAAGGCATTACTTATTAACATCATGGGAACATGCAGTTAGAGTCAGAGTCTAGTGTCTTTGTTTATTTGTTTATTTGTTTTGTCTAGGGCTATGAATCACCTACGCAGTGCTTGTGCTGTTGGATGAGATATTTTTATCTCCCAGTCTCTGTTTAGTTGTGTGTTGAAACTTGGCTCATCCTTGAAGGAGCAGGAAGGATGACTGAGTCTTTCTACAGAGGCCACTAGGTGGTGCTCCTCTACCAGTTTCTGAGCAAGTTAACCTTAAACTACCTGTGTGTGTGTCTCTCTCTCTCTCTCTCTCTCTCTCTCTCTCTCTCTCTCTCTCTCTCTGCCTTCCTCCCTCCCTCCCTCGCTCCATCTCCTTCTCTCTCTCTCTTATACTGTAGCCCATGGGATGGCACCAGAGCATGGAATGTGTCATTTGTTCTTCAATGTATTCAAAGTACTGAATGTCAAAGGGGATTTTTACAGCTTGGGTTTTCATTTAGCTATGTAAGCAGAGCTCTTTTCCTTTGGTGGAAGTTCTGTTTGTCTGTAATAAGCAACACTAGTAACTACCAGTAAGTGTGACAAGTTTAAAGAATGTCTTCCGAAGTATAAAAGCTGTTCATTTGAAAAGATGCTTATTCATCTTTCTAGAGTATGGAGTCCTGGAATTTATATGAAGGTATTTGTATATTTTGATGCTATTGTTATTTGTCACTTTTTAAATGAAAACATTCCAATGTAGAATTAGTTTTTCATGGAGAATTTCGTAGAGATTGTAGGAAAGTATTTATTTATTTGTGCAGCAGGTTCCTTCCTATGTATAATGAGGAATTTTTAAAAAAAGTATTAAATGGGAAAATTGTCCCTTGCAGTGCACTTTACTCTTTGCTTTATGGTGACTTGTTAGCCCATCTGCTCACCTTGCTGGTTCCATCCATTGTGGCCCCAGCTCTTCATGACAATAGTGAAACTAGATTCATTTTAAAGAAATTCCATTTTATTAATTTCTGTTGACTACTTTTAACTAACAGTCAATGACTTTTTATAAATCAGAAGTATTTTAATACCAAAAATTTGGCTGAAGTATTCTGCATTCAATTAAGTTTGTTCTTTTCCCTTTCGTTAACCGTATTTCACCTCTGTATAATTGTTATGGAGTTTGTTAAAATAATTGCTTTCCCAGGTAAAAAGAGTCCCACCGGTTCCTGTCTTAAAGCAATTGATTATTGAGCAGAGTGAGACTGTAATAATGCAAAAATAACCAAGTGTCACATGAATGCTCAACTTGGGCATCCTGCAGAGAGAGAATAAGAGATAGAGAAACAGACGTTTATGGGTTCACTCTACAAATGGCCCCAGTGAGCAGAAGTGGGCCAGAACCCAGGAAGAAGGAAAGAGCTAGGAGCTTCATTAGGTTTTCCCAAGAATTTTGACCATCTTTGCTGCTTTCCAACCCACACTATCAGGAAGCTGCATTAGCAGCGGAGCTGCTGGGACTTGAAACACACCCATATGGGATGCTGGCTGTTGTTGCAGGCACTAGCTTAACTCACTATGCCACAAGGTCTACCCCAAATTAGTGAGTTATTTTGCCCAGAATAACTTTTCTGTATGAAAAAATCATCTTGTGGTAGATGCTGTTACTCTCAGTCTCTCTTCGTATCCTGCAACTACTTCTGTTGTCATCTGATGACTACCAGTAGTCTTTTGTACATGGCAGGACAATGACGGAGGAAGATTTGTGTTTGAGGGATAAGTTGAACACTCTCATTGAGTGTGCTCAATGAGAGCCAGTGCTGGAACTGTTAGAATCGCATGTGACCGGTGTAATAAGGAGAACAAAAATTACCCAGTAGGGATGTGTACTTTAGAATTGATTCGTAGGTTGCGCTTTTCCGTATTTCCTATTACCAGTGTGATTGATTAATCATAGCGTTAATTTAATGTCTGGAAAAGTA